TGATTTAAGTGTCACATTTATTAGAATTTCTACATCTCTACAGAGACTCAGGATCAGGGTTTTGGCACACACAAGTCCTAGAAAGAAGTAAAAACAATAAAAGGCACTGCAGAAAGATGAGTTGTGCCTTCATGCGGCGTATATGCTGATTTAAATATCAGCCAGAGCTTTCTCCTGTAGGCTGTTCACGCAGTGCATAGGCTGATTTGACACTTGAGAACATGAGGCGTGACTCCAGTATTATTGAACAAGAGCGGTTGACTGAAAGGTTTCCTAGAAATGGAAACCTTTCACTCCATGTGGACATTTCTGCTGTTCCTGATTTCCATCATTTCTGGGATTGGCATATGTATACTGTATATATGTCCTTAATATCACAACACTATCACCTGTCTGGCTGGACATGTGTCCTGCATGTCGATGTCCTTTTACAAATTGGTCACCTTAAGGCCAAACTGGATTTGAACCAGCAGCCCTTGCACTTACAGCTAAAGGCAGGAATACACTACGCAAGTTTTAAAATCTGAATGCGAGACATCATACATTTACTGACTTTGTAAACAGTCATAAAATTCGTAAACTTCTCCAGACTGTAAATTGGGGGAAAATCAGGGCAAAAGTCGTGTAGTGCATTCCAGCCTTAAGGCTGTCAAAAGCAAATGTATGACTTCAAATCAAATACTAAATAATAAACCATCCCGACCCTTTGGATTTTATTGAGATCTAATTTGAAATTTGTCCAATTCAGTGGAAATGTGTGATTAATAGTTGAAGAGGCCAGAACAGACGGAGTTCTTTTTTTTATGGAACTTTAGTTGGATTTTAGTTGGAGTTGTTTCAAAGGTCATTTTAAATTCACTAAGAGCCACTCACTGCAGACAAGTTTGAATTTTTTAGATAGTTCTCTGTCCTGTTATTTCCCACATTTATTTTTGGTCAGGAGCTCCCTTTATGTAAATTTCATCAAGATAATTTTCATCAAAAATGTGCAACCTCATATGCAACGTACAGTACAGGTGCATCTCAATAAATTAGAATGTCGTGGAAAAGTTAATTTATTTCTGTAATTCAACTCAAATTGTGAAACTTGTGTATTAAATAAATTCAATGCACACAGAAGTAGTTTGTAAGTCTTTGGTTCTTTTAATTGTGATGATTTTGGCTCACATTTAACAAAAACCCACCAATTCACTATCTCAACAAATTAGAATATGGTGACATGCCAATCAGCTAATCAACTCAAAACACCTGCAAAGGTTTCCTGAGCCTTCAAAATGGTCTCTCAGTTTGGTTCACTAGGCTACACAATCATGGGGAAGACTGCTGATCTGACAGTTGTCCAGAAGACAATCATTGACACCTTTCACAAGGAGGGTAAGCCACAAACATTCATTGCCAAAGAAGCTGGCTGTTCACAGAGTGCTGTATCCAAGCATGTTAACAGAAAGTTGAGTGGAAGGAAAAAGTGTGGAAGAAAAAGATGCACAACCAACCGACTGAAATAAATTAACTTTTCCACGACATTCTAATTTATTGAGATGCACCTGTATGTGTGCTTAACTTTATTTGATTACCTGTGTACAAATACCGCTCACTATGCTATTTAACTGTGCCTCTAATGTCTGCTGGGTTTTTTGATTACAACAGGAAGAAAGATGGTTCCCCTGTGTGCGGTTTATTTCTCTCCCCCCCAGCCGTGGTCCGCTTTTGATAAAGCACCAGCTTTGGTCTTTGTGCTTTTGGGCTGGAAGACTTTTGGGCTGTTGAATGTCTTACAACAAACTGTAAACATGTTAAATGCTGGACAAATGGTCAATGTTTAATTGTTTGCAGCCTGTTCGATGGTGGCTTTACAAGATATTCAATAATCCAAGGCCATGAAAAACATCCACTACAAGAGCTATCGAATGTTTCAGCAGTAAACTGCAGTTTGCGATTCTTGAGGATTGTCGGTCGTGTCCTCAAGCGTTCTCTGAACCAACCGCATCAGTCTTCGGCCAGCACAAGCACAAGATTTCATTATTTCTCTGTTTCTCTGAGCTTATTATTGCATTTCTTTTATCATTTTTCTATGTTGAAGGTGAATTGCAGAGACAAAATTAAATAAACAGTTTGTAGGTTGGTTCCTGAAGAGTGTGAATGCTGTGACTTTGCTCTGTTTATTTGAACAATTGGAGCATTCGACAGTTTTGTTTGGTTTTTGCTTTGATTTATGACATTAGTGTGTTTTTTTCTGTTGCTAAATAGATACGAGCACACAGAAAGTTCTGGTACTTGAGAAGATACCATAGCATCAATAGGCTACTTTTATGCTTTCTTTTGATACATTGATATATAGATTTACACAAATATATATACAAAAAAATGTTAGGGTTTTGTTTGAAATGTCTTTTTTAGAAATGACCTTTGTTAGATGTCAGGTATTACAATTTAAAGAAAGGTTTAAATTAAACAGATTTAAATTAAACTAAAGCCAATTTTCTACTTTTTTTTTTAATATATAGTAGCTTTAAAGCAAGGCTGTCCAAAACCGTGCCTGAAGCCATAACCCCATGTCACAAAGGCAGTATGTAGATTCTCTGAGCCCCGAGAACATCAGTCTCCACAGACTTAATGCATTTCCTATTGGAAATTTTCCTCTCATAACTCAATAATCGAGTCATCAGGACCATGCCATTTTATCTCTTTGGATACATGCACCTGGTGGAAACTGGCATCTTAAAACCCACAGCGCAGCATATTACAGCTGAAAAAAAAAAACAGTTTAACAATATCGATTCACAAACTTGACACCTGCACTTAGGCGCAGAAAAAGAGACAGATTTACAGAAACTGTGGTATCAGATCTTCAAAAACAATCTCTGAATCTGCAAACCAGTCTAAACATTGTAACATTGTAATTGTGCATTTAGTAAAAAAATATTTGCGTCAAGACAGCATCCAGAATTTCTGATGAACAACAGTGTGTCTGCTTTTTATGTTCATTTTAGTGTTTTGCTTTTCATTTTGTACCATCCATTGTAGTAAGGGCTAATTAGTTGTTTCAGCTGCATTGTTTTTAGTCCTGTTGCCAAAATTATTCACACATTTTCACCCAGCAAGCACTCCTGTAATGTTGTAAATCATAATGCTATTAGCTCATTATCATACACTGTAATTTCTGACTCTTTTCCCCTTTTTCTCCAGGCTGATCCAGGAAGAGAAGGAGTCAACAGAACTGAGGGCAGAGGAAATCGAGAACCGCGTGGCCAGCGTGAGCTTGGAGGGGCTGAACCTGGCGCGGATGCACCATCCCAGAGCCTCCATCACTGCCTCGGCCACCGCATCCTCCCTCGCCTCCTCCTCCCCTCCCAGCGGACACTCCACCCCCAAACTCACCCCGCGCAGCCCTGCCCGCGACATGGAGCGCATGGGGGTCATGACACTGGTATACGAGCCCATCCGCATCTCTGTCCATATTTTCATATCAAGATTTTCTTTGATCTTTTTATATCAAAACAGTGCTGACTATAGATGGAGGAAAATGGTCATTGGAAATGAAATATTATTTTTTGTATGTAAACAGTATGTAAATGACCCTTTAAGAATATTTGTTTAATTCATGGCACGTAACTTTAACATTTTGGGGCTTTACAAAAGCCTTTTTTCATGCAAATTGTAGTGCTGGTTAAGTCACAAATGACACAGTATGATGTCTCTCAATCAATTGCTGTATTACAGCTTTCCTGGTCATTTCTCTGCAGTTTCTGCATCACGTTGCGTTGCTTTGAATGCCTCATGACTATCCAGTATCCATTAAGCTGTTAACATATTTTGTTTTTTGTTCTGCAGCCCAGTGACTTGCGGAAACACAGGAGAAAGGTACTTAACATGTGGTCTCTTCACAAAAGAGCTGGCTGTATTTGGCATGATTCTTTTTTTATGGGCAACATAGAGGACACCGGGGTTGGAGGAAAATCTGAATAAAAAAAAAAAAAATTCCATTTCCAATTCATGAGTTGGAACTGAATTGAATTGGCTACAGTCAAGGGTGAATGAAATGAATAAAATATAACAAAATTCAATGAGGTTTATGCTTAAAAAAACACTATTTTTCTTGTCCCACTGGCAAATTTACTTAATTCTTTGAAAACAAGTCTTAGTATTACCATTTTGCTCCTTAAGCACATTTATATTGTTTTAAACATGTTTAGATATTTGTACGGGTTAAAAAACAACAATGCTGAGGATTATTTGTTATTAAGATAAATAAGTATTGGTAAATGATTTTACATATAATAACACATTTTTAATATGTGAAAAAATGAGTATATGGGTGACATTTGTTACTTTTGATTATTATTGATCTATAACATCAGTTTTTATTAGCTGAGGTTTCTGGAATACCCCATCTGTTATATGAAAAATATCTTTATTGGTAATTCAGAATAAGAAAATTCATGTATTATTAAGAAATATCCTGTTTTCCACCCCAAAATTCACCCTCAAGATATTTAGAAGAACGCTAGGAAACAAAAAATACTGAAGTCCATTGACGTCCACTGTATGTGCAAAAAAATAGAGACATGTCTCAAGATATCTTCTTTTATGTTTGACAGAAAAAAGGTGTTACATTTTCGGATCGACATGAGGGTAATTAAATGAGAGTATCTTCATTTTTGGGTGAACTGTCCCTTTAATTCAGATTCCCTCTGTCACAGATCGCAGCGGTGGACGAGGACGGTCGAGAGGATAAGGCCACCATCAAATGCGAGACCTCGCCACCTCCCACACCTCGCCAAGTCCGCATGACCCACACGCTGCCTGCTTCTTCGCACAATGACGCACGGTGAGACGGCAAAAAGACAGCAGCCAGACACATCCTGCATGCAAACATGACCCAACTTTCCCGCTGTTAATCTGTTTGTCTGTCTCCAGCCTGACGGCTGCATTAGAGACTGAGGCCAGTGCTCTGAGCAGTGTAGCCAGCAGTCAAGACTCCCTCCATAAACAGCCAAAGAAGAAGGGCATCAAATCCTCCATCGGACGTCTGTTTGGGAAGAAAGAGAAGGCCAGACTGGGGCAGCTGGGGAAAGAGATTATGGGACCAGGACAAGGTGAGACATAGAGACATATGAGCTATTAAGAGTTAGGTTTTGTATACATGTATATCAGAAAACGTGGTCCTTTTCAATATTGATTTAATCTGATTAAAACACTGACCTGGAGTCGAATGTAAATATAATTACTAACTTTATCAAATGATTGGTTAATGGATCTTCTCCATCAGTAGGGAATGTATCCGATCCTGAGCTTCTAGGTCAGGATATTGCGGTGGGAAAGCTGGGAACACAGGCGGAGAAAGATCGCAGGCTTAAAAAGAAGTAAGTATTTTATAAACCGCTCTCTGACAAATTCAAATTATACATCCAACACAACCTTTTATGAAGGTAATTCATTCCTGGGCCCAAATCTTGAAAGAACTAAATATTACTAACATAACACAACTGACACAACATAACAAACAACACAAATACTGTGATGTTATGTTTCACACACCTCTCTTTAAAAAATAATATTTGAACATATGGCCCATCTGGATGCATTGTAGTGCCTTAGGCCAAAAAACATACTCTACGAAAGTAAGAAAGAGCTTTGCGTAGTCCTGTTGTACAGATTTAGAGTGAGTTTTTGTCACTTTTAAAATACCAAGCCTCAGTACACAAGATAGATAGTTATACAATATATTTATTTATTTAAGTTATTTTAAGTAGCTAGCTTTAATGAACTTGTGAAGATTGTTTGGCCATGACAGTAGATGACCTGAAAGAATAAACAACCAACAACAAAAGTATTTCCAAACTATTTTTGCTATATTTGAAGTTTGTGGTAATCCATAGCATTATTAGCATTTCCATCATCAATATCTATAGGGTCATTCCGTGTCAACTCAACCAGAGGTCCCTGGCTCAAAATTTTGATTTTGCTAATATTTTTTCTGAAGAAAGACAGACATGTATAGTGATGAAAGCCAAAATATTAAATGTCATGGATGAATATTTACTGAGCAATCCACTATTTTGTAGAGGGGGGTCAAAATGGCCATTTTCACCTGAGATTCAGAGGCAAATTACAGGGGGTTAAAAATGACTTCAGAAAGATGGCAGCATCATAATGTTATTTTTACAAAGAGATTGGTAGGTCTACTAGTAAATTCTGTTGACTTTAGCAATCTTTGTTGCATTATGTGCCAATGGCAACCATTCAAAAATGGGGAAACGGCACTTTTCAAGTTTTTTCTCTAAAGTTTGCATGCCTGTATCTCAAGAAGTATTAAAGGTATCTTAATGCCCTTTTAGATATTGGGTCTTAACAAACTTTCCTTTGAGAGGAATGTCTGAAGAACAAATAATCTTGAAACTAGAAATGTATCTTGTTTCCTTCTGTCCAAACAACTGCATTGAACATACCTGTCTGAGTGCCATAAGTATTCTTTTTCCAAAGTTTGCATGCCTATAACTCAAGAAGTATTAAAGATATTGCAATATGATTTTAGATTCTGTTTCTTAATAAACTTTTATTTTGGAATCTTAATTTTCAAAGCCCTACATCGTTCAGTCCAAGAGATATGAGGATCTCAAAGAGGTTCAATTTTCCGATTGTTGAATATTACCCATTTTTAGTGGTTGAAAACCAAATGTTGGTCACAATTGACATTTAATATTTTGGCTTTCTTCACTATACATGTCTGTCTTTCTTCAGAAAAAATATTAGCAAAATCAAAAATTTGAGCTGGGGAATTTTTTTAAATTTGGTTGATTTGACACGGAATGACCCTATAAACATTTCAACATGCTAAATCTTTTTCCCGCAAAAATAGATCCGTGGATGGAAACCTGGTTAAAGCTTGCACAGCTAATTGGCGTTCACATTTACGTGTTTGCATAGATTATGTTTCGGGCCTTATGTTAGCTAATCTGAAAAAGAAAGCATTTTCAGTGTCAATACAGTTTATACTCTATTTGTTTAACCCTTGTGTTGTGTTCAGAACCCTATCACACTTATTGTGAAAATTATTCATAAATAATGCTTTTTTCACTCAAAAAATGAGGTGCCTACTCTCAGATAAATGAGGCCTACGATTAATCAGAAGCAAATATAAATACAAAACCAGTCCTAAATGAAAGAAAAGAAGTTGACAAAAAGATTGAATCCAATCTTTGGTGATAATATAGCATAATGAGTGATTTATAAGCAATTTTTTGAGGCCGGGTCATTTTTGACCGGGAACACCACAAGTGTGACTTAGTAGTAGTTATACCCTTTGTGAACAAAGTCACAAAATTTCAGTCCAATGCGATAACATTAACTAGTATTTTCGGGGCAAAAAGGACCCGAACACCACATGAGGGTTAACTATACAAGACCCATTTACATACCTGTTTGCGATAATAATAGAGCCTGTTATCTATATGCCACACGGTGTACTACTTAAAATACAATCAATGTACGATTGCCATTTGTAGAATGTATAACCAAATGTGTTGAGAAACATGAGAATGTGCCTTTCATAGCAGGCTTGTGACTTTGTTGCATACTTGGTTGTGTTTACAGCATGTCATGCGATGCTTGCCGAATATCACATTTCTTTGCCTTAACGCTAATGTTTGAATGTGACCGTTTTATGTAATTTGATTCGTGTTGGTCTCATCCATTGCGGCGCCACACAAAGGCGGCTCTTCACTGTTTCCATTGCACTGTCACACTTTCTGCATGCTGTATGATAAAAAATAACTTTTAAAGACAAGTAGATCTGTTCAATTGTGACCAACAAGTCAATATCTAAGTGCAAAAATACAACGATTCCCAACAGTAATGCACGTCTCTGAGCCGAGGTGTTTTTTCTAAAGTCTACATACAGTATGCTCAATAACAAGCATTTAATTTTGTCTCCCATCGCTTTCTCTATTTTTCTTTTCTCTCTCTATCTCTTTTTCTCCTCATCTGACTCTGTATCAGCGGGTAAGTTTAGTTTGTGTTGCCGAGACTTGCTGCATTTTCCACTGTCGACGCTCTGTCCGTGTCTGTCGTCATGCTCCTAAAGTGTGTGTCTATCTTCAGGGGGGTCCAACGCATTTCCTTTCTGTCCATCCAGAGACCCCCACCTCTGCCTTTCTTTTTCATTTGACTGTAAATGTGATTCTCCCCCTCTGCAGTTCTATAGAGGATGCATCTCTGCCTGGAGAGAGAATGTGTGCCTTTATAACAACCTGTTCTCGATCTGCCATGCCGAGGCCTTTCTCCTCTCGTGTACGTGTGCGTGCGCGTGTCCGTGCGTGCGTGTGTGCATCATGTGCCGTATTCAATAACCAGGTCTCGTCTCTGGTTATGGACTGTGAACTCATTGACTTCTTCCCTGCTCTCTTTTTCTTTTCATTTTGTTTTCTCTCATAACTGTTTCTCTCCCTCCCCAGCTACAGTATGTTCAGAAGAAGTCACTCATACGCATTACATTCGACCTGAACATATGCAGTTCAACACGTAAAGATGAGGAGAGATACATCATAACCACCATCACCACGAAGGCCTTATTGCCTTTACAGCACACAGACATGAAAGTTCACGGCGACAGGACAGTTCCCCTTTGACACGGTGGCGGTGCTCAATCCGGTTTTTCCATCAAAGAAAAGGTGGTTCTGGAAAATTAGACCCATTAAACCTGCCGGTTTAAACCGGGAACAACTAGTCTCGCGTAGACAGACTTTAAAGTCGGCATGAAATAATAGTTAACCCAATTTATTTTCTAAATGCATGTTACTGTTCTTATTGTGACTGATTCATCTGTGCATATGTTAAATTATGCCATTTACCTAAGTATGTAAAAAAAAAAACCCTTACAATTGACTGCTAGTTCTCATTCAGATCCAGTGGACTGAAACAACTCTCAGTTTCACTTGGATGCATGTGACAATGTGGAAAAAAAAGATCCGTCGTTACTTCTGACTTTAACCGTCAGCATAAAGTGTGGTCCATTTTATTAGCTTTTATTAACAGCTTATTCAGGCAAGAGGCGTCCTGACAAACCACATTTTCTTTCAGATACTAAAATAGAACATCATGGAAAAAGTGCTTGTTTACTTGAAATGTTTTTTTTTTGTTGTTGTTCCGAAAATAACTTTTTACAATGTCGCATTTTGCTTTGGCATGCCAATATTTCAAAAAGGATCGAAACATGTTAGTAAAAGTGCCTTTCATGCACCTTTATGTTCCAGGATTTATCTCATACCAGCATTGACGAAATGGATGACGAACAGCTCCACGGGTTTATCGTAACCACCAGCTTCAGTTGTTCAACTAAGCTACATGAAAAAAAATTTTTTTTAATGGAATGCTAACATATGTTTCCAAAACTAGGAATAAGATGGCTTATTCGAATTTACGGCTTACAGGTTACATAGTAAAAAAAGTAATTTCCGTCGACTCGAATAAAAACAATCCACCTTCCGCATAGAACCGGATCTGGCACCATCACCGGCACCACTTTGGTGCAAAAGAGATATCAGTGGTCACGTAAGCGGTTTTGAGATTTGATTTGTGCAGACAGAACCATATCATTCACTACAGCACGTGTCAGTACTGCACTCGACTCTTCAAGTGGCCTTACCGTACACCCCAAACATGTGGTTGGATTACGAAGCTGCTCTCTGAGGGAGGAACACCCTCAGAGCAACATGGAACTCTCTGCCTTAAAGTCCACCGCAATTTCCACACACCATAAAATACTCACCTGTGCTTGTTCTATAGCAAGGTGCCCTCAGAATTACATCACAGTTCAACGGTAAAGCCGTTACCTCAAAATATCTCTGAATTACACTGGCTTGAATTTGTCAGAACCTTGGGAACAAGTGCTCTCTGACATTCAGACGTTAGCAGGAGAGATATATTGAAACATTTCTAAAGACACACTCTATGTTACAAGCCCTTCAGTCCCTGTAAAGTTGGTAAACGACAAGAGGCAACCTTGAGGAAAGCTAGACATATTTCCCAGCGGAGATCTGCGTAGAAAGCGTCCGCGTGAATGTCTGATGAGAGTTTATGATAGCAGCCTTGTCTTAAAGCGCAAATATTTATCAAGACAAACACGGACTAGGGTTCAAAAGAAAAGGCATTTCTGTTTTCCCTCGATAAGTCACAGTATTCCAGTTTTCTAAAGCTCTCGGTTTTATAGACGAGGATCAGGACGCAGCAAGGAAATGTCACGATATGTTTATCTGAAAAACTGGAACTTTCAGTTCGCTGGCGTCCCAGCGTGACCGACACCATTAGTTTCTTTCCTTCATTTC